CTCCGACACCAGCGCCAACCTTCCTCTCGTGAAAATGCATCTCATTAGCAGAAGCCGTATCGGTGCTGCCAGGTGAGACTGCCCAGCGGCTGTTTCTACTACTGCACAGTGGGAATAGCCAGCATAATGAGTTGTTATACTGTTGTACTGAGCTTCGGAGCTGGTTTGCAGGTACACGGGATAGATGCCAGAATCAATTTTGCTCCTTTATGTTTAGTTGTGTAGTAGAGCACAGATGTATCTTTATTTTAATTTGCTTTGCTACTTAATTGCATGCCTTCAACTTAAGAGAAATTTAGCCTTGCTATATACTTCGAACTTTTTCCTAAATTTATTTTCAGACACTGTTAATTTTAAAACTGCCTTTGTTTGAGAATCCCATGTGTTCACTGTAAATAGACCTTTGTTTGCAAAGAAAGGGATAAAATAAACCCCCAAACATTGATTTTTAAATTGAGTAAAACTCCAGGACAGCTACCAGCATGCCTGACTGTTGTAACACTGCTCTAAGGCTTCTACAGAGGCCCCCAACCCTTGGGTCAATACAGACCCTCCCTCTGCGGGCAGGTCCTGCCCCTCCACAAGCTGTGGTCGCTCTGCCCAGGTGCCAGGGAGATCTGCCTCCTTCCAGCATTAGGGCTATACGGCGAATTTAAATGTCCTCACAATGAGATTAGGGTACAGTTTTTTCCCTTGTGTCAGCAGTAATTCAGAAATATCCATACCCTCAGCTTGTTTCCAAGTGTGTCAATGTTCATACACACATTTGCCCTTTGCACCAAAATGCCCCAGGGATGACAGACCTGCTTTGTAGGAGTAAATCCAGGCACACGTGTAAGTACAGAGATAAAGCTGTTTTATTTGCCGATCTCCAGCGCTCTGCACTACACTTCTACATCTAGTTTCCTCTAGCAGGATTAAAAGCCATCAGATTACAATATGGTGGCCTTAACAGGATGGGTCAGTATCATGCATTGTAGAAAAGTATTATGTATATAAGCAGAACATATTTAGGCAATTCACTGAACTGGACGATAGGTCAAGAATGTATTTAGGTTAAGTCAAGTTTGTTATTCCCCCCCAACCCCGCTTGTTTTTTCCCCGCACATCAGATACTGGCAAAAAAAACCCCAAACCACCTCCCTCATCCCTCTTCAGAAATGAACTTTTCTTAGATCATTTCTGATCACTTTTTTTTTTGCAGCTAGGCAGAACCACAAGGCAGAAGGAAGAAAGGGAAAAAAAAAGGAAAAGAACCTGTTAAAAATGATGCAACTGGCTTTTTCCCTTCCCCCAAACTGTGAAGATTAAAATAGTGATTGCTTCCATCAAACGCCTTAGATCACAGCTTTCACTAAACAGACTATTCAAGCCACATTTCCATTATTCTCATCATCACTTATATAACAGTGACTGATTTTATCATTATTCTTTGTATGCATTCCCCTTAGTGCTCTAGGGTAGGTCCCCCCCCCCCGCCCCCATTCCTAACCAGCAACAGATAAATAACTTTAGCTCAGGGTCTAAGACAATGTCTTTTCTCAAAGGAGCCTTTCCCATCCGGACAGCAATAGTACAAAAAATATGTTGTTGTGGCATGTGCCAGCCAATAAATTCTGTCACTGGGGATCTTCATTTATTTACATTGAGTCATCTGGTTAACATTGTCTTTAGAAGACAAAGAGTTTGAATATTATAAAGAGCTCTTAAAATATGAAGGGCAACTGTAATGAATTGCTAAGGTAAAACATGTTACCAACTCAGAAACCCTTATAAAAGGAGGAGAACATATATCTGCTGCTTTGCTTCAGCCCATATTTCATGTTAATGGTTCGGCTTCCTTGTTGTGATTATGACATACTGCTTCTTGCATTTATCTTCTCTATCCTAAAAAATGCTTGTAAAAATACTGTACATACTGCAGATGTGCTCCTTTGGGGGTTTGCAAAAAAAAAAAAAAAGACAGACTTGATAGCTAATTATTAGTATCAGTTTCTTAGGTCATTTAAAACTGTCCTGTTTCACTGCATTCATTTTTCTGGAAACAGATATCTAAATAATATGGAAGAGGAAATATAGCAATATGCCATTCACTCCAAAAACATCCTTTCTTTTAAAAAAAAAAGCCTTGTATCAGAAAAAGGAGCAATCCAGCAAACTGAACTGGACCAAGCACCAGTAGTGGATGAGTTGGCACTCTGGGTACGGCACTGGTCATTTCCCAAATCCTGTCTTCATTTTCTCACTAGTAACACTGACGCTGCAATATTTACTCTGCCATGACATGGCAAAAGTAATTTAATTAACACTCAGAAAACATTTGGATACTACTTGAAAATGACAAAACACAAAACAAATACAAAATGTTGCTTAAAAATAAGAAATACTATGTTTTTCTTCTCTATGCTTCAACGTGAGTTTTTCCTTTGTATGTGAAGACAGAACTGCTTGTGAGATTTTCAAAGCTACCTCAATGCCTTTTCCAAAAACACTTCAGTTACCCAGGCTCTTTTGAACAGTATCTTTTTTGGCTCTGCAGCCATTTGGCATATATAGCCTAAACCCTTCGTGGCAAGTAGGATTCAACAGAACAGAGCAGCTTTCTACACAGAATGAATCCAGGAGACCAGGGTATTCCTGGCTCTAGCAAAAACATTTACATCACCTGAGGAGGACGATACGGTTCTTTTTTCCCCCTTAGTTTTGTAATAAAATATGATTAAAATATAAATATAAACAAAATCTAGATTAAACAGCAAAAATACTGATCTCTTTTGTAAAGAGATCACTGATAATAACAATAAATATGTTATTCTCAGAAAGTAACTTTTTTTCCTTATCTTTACCACACATGGCCAGAAACTTTTGGTGCACGATCAACCTTTGTAAGCTACAAAGTCGATTGCAAAGTGGGTATATGTTGAAGGATGTGGGTATAGATCCTCAGCATGTTCTGTAGCGGGGATACACACAGAGTGGGAAAATCTGCCCTCAGCAAAATCAATAAGAGTAGCGTCATCAGCAGGATCAGAAATTCGGCTCTAACCTTTACAATGCAGCTCAATGGAGGTTTAAGTTCTTTAAAATAAATCAAACCTCTAATCTTAAATACCCTTTGAAATTTGAAGTGTCTCCTGAGCTGTTGCTTCTGAACAAGAAAACTACTCTAGCAGGAACACGGGAAGACAGAAGGAAAAGGAACGAGGAAAGAGAGAGAACAAAACCAGTAGTTTCCAGTCTCAGCTCCGTCTAGGCTAGCTTATCTACTCAGAACACCTCTTCTGGGAGAAACTCCTACTGATATAACTGAAGCATGGGACAATACAGTGAAAATGAGCTCAAGATCTGGAAAGTAGCTCAAACTGTAGTCCAAAACCCATAGTTCATTATTATTAAAAATGTTTAAATGTGAGCTAAGAGAACGGGTGTGCAGTTGCCCATCTCCAGAGGCCACCTCTGAGCAGAGTCAGTGCTCAGTGTTGTGTGAAGATAACACAAGCTGCTTTACAGTGACTTCTCTGCAACTTTTTCCTCTTTATCTAGCAAAATAATTAGTAATTCTGATTTTAGAGGCTGAGAAGAAAAATTTAGGACATTTCCATCAGAACATATCTCCTTAATTGAATAACTTCCTAGACTCTCTAGTTAAAGTTTAAATAACTGTTAATGACTCTGAAGCAATCAGAAATGTTTTGCCAAGGGGAAATCAACAGTATATTGAGATAGTTCGGTATTATTGCTGACTGCTAAAGGCAGCTTTTAAAGATCATATGTTTACAAACTAATTAGATACATTTGATCATTCTGAAAAGTATACTGAAACCTTTAATGCCATTTTTCTTCTGTCCATGTAGGAATAATATTTCCTTTACATTACATATCAATGGGTAAGGTGAGCTTTCAGATTTTTGCCAATTTTATACAAAATACTGATGTTCCTCTCTAAAATAAACTCTTATGACAAATAACCTTTTTATAATACCATGCATATTAGGTGCTGCAATCCCAGGGTTTTTTAGATATACATATATACACACACACACGTTTTTGGGGTACAGTGGTGATACATTTTGATTAGTCATAATGGAAAACTTTTTTATGTTTTTCAGCAATGTAAATCATTCGCCTTCTTGCCGTGTCTTTCCACTTCCTCACAAACTGCAGTGTTCTGTACAGAAATGATACTGTGACTAATAAAATTACCTCCTCATCTGACTTATTCCATAGAAGCGCAAATGTACCCACCTATCTTCCTGAAATTCCCCCAAAAATCCTGTATGTTGGGTCCAGAAAAATAAGGAATGTGGGCACAATTCTGTGCCACTGATTCCCTGATATTTTTATCAGCAGCATCAACCAGCCATGCATTAGACTTTAAACCAGTGAAATATCCATTTACAGCATTTAGAGCAATATGATACACTGCACTTGGCGAGCAAGTGAAGAATTTGGAAACAGATTACCTAAAACAGCAAATCCAAGCCTAAACTGGCTTTTAGAGAAGGTCCCAGATTGCTGGATATTCTTCCATCCAAAATGTTCCTCAAGTTTTTTTAATTTAGAATCATATCCTTCATGATATTGCAAGGCACAAATATCCATCAAATTCAGTGTATATTTTGGGCATGAGGGATGGAGGTTTCATTAGCAGTTCATGTGAAAATAATTTTTAATTGATATTCAATTTGATTGCACTGGAGTTTAATACTCATGACAAAACCTAAAGCACAGGTCTTATCCAAAATCCTTTGGAATCAATGTGATTCTTAACACTAACTTCAGTGAAACCAGGATTTCTGCCTAAATGTTTTTTAAATAAAATGCATAGGTTATTTCTAGATCTTTCTGATTACCTCTAGGATTCTGCCAGACTAAACTATGACAGTTTGCCTGCCCCCCAGGCATTCTGTGAATCCCAAAAGCTTACACTTTGCATATAATAATTATATCCAATAAAAAAATAGCATGAAGTGACTTCCAAAATCCAAAGGTCAAAAATTCAGCTAACATATATTAATCTTTATTATGTAATAATGATAAAATAAATAAGTTTATGAATTCATATGACCTGTACAAAAAGCCGAAAAGATATTGCACCGAGTTAGGTACCGGCTATTTGGATTTAATATTTGTTAAACGTATGATCTAAAATTACATACAGTTGTGGAGTTAAGGCAAAACCAGAAGATACCTTTAACACAACAGAAGGTTTGAAAAATAGACATAATTACAAACAAGGGGATCTCATCTTCAGCTAATAAAGTGACTGTGTCTAAGGAAGGAATCCCTTAGGTTTTTAATAAAGCAGTTATTATCAATCATGTTAATTAAAATTGAAGAACAAGTGTGAGATTTCCTGCAGGGCAAAGCTGTTTTGCAAAGTTGTGCCTGAATGATCACCTTTAACCCTGGTAAGAATATTTTTCTTAATGGTTATAATCTGCTCTTCTTTTAGAAAACAGCACATGGAGAAGAGGAATACCTTACATACCCAACTAAAATACAACCATAACCTCTTAGCTTTATGTAGACTAGACTTGATTGTGACCGGTGACAGAGCATAAATATATGGGTGAACCATCCAACACACTACACGCAGAGGGGAAGTAAAGTCAACCACTTATCAATAATAATTACCTTTCTCAAGACAATGGAATAGCTCATGTCAGTTAAGTCCCAATGACAAAAACATGTATGACCAATATATCAATATACAGTTCTTTGGCAGCAACACACTAACTCTTGATTGAAGTCTGAACTCAAACTCTCTTAAATGATAGACCTGGTTGCCAGTCTTTTCATAATTAAAGAAAATCCACTTCTCCCATGAATCCAATAAGTCCAGTAAATGAAATCTGAATAAATCTTGCAGGCAGCTTTAGACTGTAACATTAAGCATAGATATTTATTGTCTGCTTTAGTCTCAATCCAAATATATTGTATTTAAACACAAAAATTCTGTGAGACTTCTGAGTAGTTCAGATGGGGCCAAAATCCATAAAGAGAATCCATATTCACCCATGAAAAACCAATAAAGAAACATCAATCCCATGATGATAAAATGATCTTCATGTAACAGAGGCAATGATGAGTCCACACCTGGATGAATGTCACAGGAAAATTGACTTTACAGGGGAAAGACCAGAAAGCCAGAAAACGTAGAATACTGCCATCCACCGACCAGATTACCTTTCTCCAATTTCAGGTAAACCTTATCCTCCTTGTCTAGGTAGAGCAGGACTCCATTAGTGGCAGCTTCACGTGTGACGTCCTTGTCCCCAGCAAAAGCAGAAATGACTGGCTTTCCATTTAGCATCAAATTAACCTACAAGAGAAAAATCGCTGAAAAGCTCTAATTAACAAGAAAACATCAAGAACTATCACTGAATATTAACTACAGTGTAAGAGGTCTGCTAAGGTCCCAATCTTCACTGCTTGTTTTGTTTTGTTTTAAACTAATAATTACATTTATTTGGAGTGTACAAGCACATTCCTGTTTCACGGGCGTGACCTGCAGCTGAGTGAAGTTGATGGGACACTCTCCACTGTGTGCCATGCTCCGGGCTCAGTGGGTGTGAAAGGCCATGCGACATTGCTTTCATCTGTTGCTTGGGCACGTTAATTGTTGTAACTCTCTGGCGGTATGGACCGTGAGCTATTACCTCACGTCATTTCACTTTGCCTACCTCACAGGTTATTCAGACACTTACTAGCGAAGAAGACCCTTTAAAGAAACTTGGGCACCCAGAGATGCGATACAGGCACCTAATGAGATGTCAAAGGTACTGCAGTAGGCTGGGAGCTTACACTTCTTTGAGAGCAAAAGGTATGTCCCTTCAATTACTGACGGCAGCTTAGTTTTAAAGTCTAGACCAGACCTTTAGCTTTATGAACCACTGCTCTGTGTTTTGGTACTGAATCCATTTTTCTATAAAACACTTCTGAAAGTCAGCACAGTCTCTGCTCTGAAAGCAACATCACACAGACACTCTGTAAATAAAGACGGGCAGGGGCTGGGGGAATGGACAGATCCAGGCATTTTTCATTTCCCCAGTGGCAAACTACCTGCTTTCTTCTGCTTTTTCTTTTTAAGCAGCTATAATGCAGTCACAGAGGGGTGAATTATGAAATGCTTATTCATATCAAGTATGCTGGCCTTGCATATGCTCCCATTAATTTTAATGGGAGTCGCCATGGAATAAATTAGTGCTCAGCATAAGTCAGGGCAGCAGGATCTGGCCCTGATTTGGGATTCGCCTATCTGGGAAATCCACTTAATCAGATGTCCCCAGGGAACCAATTTCAGTTTAATGATATTTAATGGCACTAACAGATGTTCCAGGGGCATAGTAATATCACTTATGTAGGAAGCCTCCAGGTGATTTAGTGGTGTTTAGGTCTGCACGTGGCTCGAGCTCGTTTGCTCCACTGCAATGGCTTTCGGTCCTCCCCCCTAGTTATCACACATGCAAAAAAAGGGCATCAAGAGTTTACTCATTGTTTGGTTTTGGTTTATCTCATTCCTTCTGTACCATCTCTCTAGGTCAGGTTCCCCTGCAGATCATCTTATAGTTATTTTAATCACAGCAGAAGATACATCACAGGTTTGCCTCAGATGGTCTCACGTTAACTACACCAAAACGGAGCCAACCACACCCATCCATCACTTCAGAAACCCTTGATCTATGAAAGATTTCAGGTCATGCGGAGGTTGTAACATTCCCTGTTACAAGCCCTGAACTCCCAGGTTTGAGTACCTGGTATGTGAGACGCCAAAGTCTGCACTGGGCTTCCAGAAGCCAAACCTTGACATCTTTCTCGGCAGTATGTCTTTTAAATACAATTAAGCTGGCTGACATACAGTCACTCACTCTAAGCCATTTCAACCTTCAGTTTTTAACAGAGTGAAAGGAACAAAGTTTGAGCATATTGAATAGCTTATAAGCTCATTATAGAGATTTTCACGAGGTCAATATTTGATCTAAGACTTTTGTCATTGACCTGAATGGAACCATGATTTCCTGATGTAGGGGTGTGAATGTGTCTCGCACCAGCTTTCTCTGCCATCTCTACCATTTACACTTTTCTCAGGAGCTTTACCGGTAACCCAAAGCCAGAGCTGCCACAAAAAAATGGTTGATCAATCCCGCAGAAATCCATTTCGTCTCAGCCTTGTACAGTGAAAACCGTATTCAGGAGCAAGAGGGATCAGGGGAAAAGTATCAAGTACTTCTGTGAATCTAGTGGTCTCATGGATAGAAACAAGGGAAGCCACAGATATTATTCCAGATCTAGAAAACCAGTATGTGTGTCACAGAAATTGCATGACCTGGCATGAGGATTAAGGAAGGTACTTTAAGGAATTTACTGTTGGCTCAGCGAGGGGATGTTCTGGAACTTAGAGGCTTTTCCTCTAAGCTAGCACGTATTTATATTTAATTGGGTAGTTCAGCTGCTATCATGCTACAGAGGAAAGTGCAGGATCACTCTCTTTTTTTTAATATATGACACATCTTTTATGTAGTATATGGTGAAAAAAAGTTTAAACTGCTATAAAGGTTCCCTAGAAGACATGCCTGTAGAGGTATAACATGTCAGTGTAGTACAGAGCAAGTAAACCACCTTAACTAACCTTGGTCCACCGCAGACTGATGACATAAATAGATCCCTGGCATCATGAGCTGTCAGCCAGGTCACAAACTGTTACAAAAATAACCAAATCTGGTATGTAGCCCCAGAACTCATTCAAGACAGTGAGTTTAACCTGTAGCCAAATACGACTCTTCAATAGTATTTATGCAATTAAGTGAAAGTTAGAGCTCCGTTTTACTCTTGGATGATTCATTCTATTTAATGCTTTATATGAACCCAAATATTCAGTTCTTATGGTATAGAAGTGCAGCTATGGCAATTTATCTGAGGTGAGGATCCTGCCTTATTACAGCTGTTCAGTTTGAATGTATTCACTCTACTGCTAGGAACGCTACACCACAGGTTGCTTTAAACTAAGCTATTTTTCCTTCAAAGTGTGTTAAATACTCATGTGTTCAGTCAAGCTCCTATTCTAAATAAACAATTTAAGTAAAAGATTTGATAATCATACTTGATCAACGTACCTGAATTGTTTGACTCTGATAGACTTTAATTACGTGAAAACTGAAACTGTAAATTCCTTTTCTTGGTGCTACAAAGACAGACTCCAACGTGAAAAAATTGCCCACATTTACTAGGATCTACAAACAAAGATATAGCATGGGAATTAGTACAGGTATTCAGTGCTAAATAAAAAATACAGACTATCAACTTTAGAAAACATTCACCCATGGAAATTTTGTAATCTACATCTATGCCGGTTTATTCATTGTTCTCTCAATTAAGTTGGACTATTAAGATGGATATTTAGTTGTATTTATAGTACACCTTTACTATAGAAAAACTAGGGTGGAAAATATTTCTTCCTTTGCTACTACATCATACCTTCAGGACCTTTCTTCTACAGATGTTTAGAGGAGATTACAAAAAGGCATTTTTGTTCACCATTCCCCCAAAATGACATCAAAACACTGATTCAGGGAGTGGCATACTGCTTTTGGCTAAAAAGCAACGGTCAAGTCAACACTCTTCCTGAAAGTCTCAAGCTGTGAGGAAGGCTGTATGTGAACAATACCATTCATTCACCAGTTTACAGCCAGCCTGAGCTACTGAAATACCTGGCATATCTGAGCAAAAACTGGCTGTGCAGCTCTGCTGCTTTACCTGGTTTTGTAAGCACTGATAATAATTTGGGTTTGATTAAACAGAGACAAGTAACAGAGGGGAACGTATTAAATGAGTGCATCGCCCATATGCTAAATACCTTCTTTAATGACCACATTTTTCTTTCTTTCCACTTAGTTATGCTTTGGTTTTAATTGATATTTTCAGGGTCGTTTATGCCAGACACAGCCCTATAAAGCCACCAGGAATGTCCGTGAAGTCGGGGTAATTTACATTGCTAGCATTAAGCTACGTGACATCTCCGGCTTCAGTCGTCACGACAGTTTACTGTGCATTATCATACGGTGTAGGAAGCACAAAACCATCCGTCTCAATTCCCTCGGACTTGCCCTAGGACAGGAGTGCGTGTGCTGGCATCTGGATGTGGATGTTAGCGACTGAGGCGAGAGGGGCTGTGCTATGAACCCGTGGCTGTTACAGAAAAGTTAAATGATTTTTTTCCTTAAAATGCGTTCTTCTCTCCCCTCTCCCGGGCTGCGCAAGCCGTCGGGCATCGCCACAGGCTGCCTGCCCCAGGGCAA